CTGCTATAAAAGAATTGGGGGATAATTGGGAAATTTGAAAGTAAGCTAAATGGGCTGGGCACGGTGACTCATGTCTGTAATCCTAGCACTTCGGGAGGCCGAGGCGGGTGGATTACCTGAGGCCAGGAGTTCAAAACCAGCCTGGCCAACATGTTGAATCCCTGTCTCTACTAAAAAATACAAAAATTAGCCAGGTGTAATGGCATGCACCTGTAATCCCAGCTATTCGGGAAGTTGAGGCAGGAGAATCGCTTGAACCCGGAGGCAGAGGTTGCAGTGAGCCAAGATCACACCACTGCACTCCAGCCTGGGTGAACAGAGTGAGACTGTCTCAAGAAAAATAATAAGCTAAATAGTGGGTGCTATTCGAGAATAATTACTGTTAATTTAGCTCTGATAATGGTACTCAGGTTAAGTGGCATACTCCTAAATTCTTTTGTGCTGAAGCGGGGAGAAATATCACCATGTACACAATTTATTTTCAACTGCCTCCTGAGAGTGGCTACCACTCATTCATGTGATGACCCTCTCCCATGATCACTGCAACCAAGCCCCTGCCCTTATGCACCAACAGTGTTCTGGGCCTGTTCCCAGCCATAAGAGAAGGAACTTTTGTAGGAGAAGGTGACACGTGTGTGAATGCAGACATGAAACCAGGACTCCCTGTCAACATTGCGTTTTCACTTGGGTCCTGGCTTGTGACATTGAATTGAAAGTGATTTTGATTTTCTGAATAACAAATCCGAGGCTACAGAAACCCCACTTCCTTCCATCCCCACTGGGCTTGGCCTGGTCCCTGCACATGGCAAGTTAGCCTCCTTTGGTCTCTTTACTGGAAGAGTAAATACCCAGTTAATCCAGACAGCTCATGCCCTTCGTCATTCTCTGTATCCACCTCTGTTATTCTCTAGTCACTTATTTCTCTCTCTCTCTCTTTTTTTTTTAGACAGAGTCTTGCTCTATCGCCAGGCTGGAGTGCAGTGGCATGATCTCGGCTCACTGCAACCTCCACCTGCCAGGTTCAAGGGATTCTCCTGCCTCAGCCTCCCGAGTAGCTGGGACTATGCCACCATGTCCAACTAGTTTTTTGTATTTTAGTAGAGATAGGGTTTCACCATGTTGGCCAGGCTGGTCTCCAGCTCCTGACCTCGTGATCCACCCATCTCGGCCTCCCAAAGTGCTGGGATTACAGGTGTGAGCCACCGCGCCCGGCCACTTATTTCTCATTTTTAGAGACAATGGTCTCCCTAGGTTGTCCAGGCTGGACTCAAACTCCTGGGCTCAAGGGATCATCCTGCCTCAGTCTCCTGATCTATTCATTATTAAAGATGAACTCATCTCCTGTTTCACTTAAGGTTTCAGAGCAAATGACAAGCAAGTATTCTCAGCTTTGCTAGACAGACAGCAAACTAAAGCCTCAGAAATAAGAAGTTATTTTTGTCCAAAGGCAAAAACCCAAATGACAAAGAGTCTTGAATGAGACCCAGTATTCCAGTCCCCAAACTTCAGCACCCCTCATGGCAAAAGATTGGCATTCTTCATTGGAAGCGATGACCTTTTTTTTTTTTTTTCCATTTAACAAAGCCTGCAGCTCATGGCCGGAAGATGAGAAAACCATGGAGAAAATCACTCACAATGACTGGAGCCTGTTTCCAGCTGCAGCTAGTGGAAAGTTACCTGATTTTGTTTTTCACTGTTGGTGAAGCCCAATTTTGCAGGCTGTATCTGAATATACACATTAGGGATTTAGACATTCTAAGTTAAACTTCAACCTTCCAAGGTTCACATCTACTTTTTTTAAAAGGCATGCACCTTTATTTCTTAAAAAATAAAAAGTCGGGCCGGACACAGTGGCTCACACCAGTAATCCCAGCACTTTGGGAGGCCGAGGCAGGCAGATCATGAGGTCAGGAGATCAAGACTATCCTGGCTAACACAATGAAACCCCATCTCTACTAAACATATAAAAAATTATCTGGGCATGGTGGTATGTGCCTGTGTCCCCGCTAGTCAGGAGGCTGAGGCAGGAGAATCGCTTGAACCCGGGAGGTGGAAGTTGCAGTGAGCTGAGATCACACCCCTGCACTCCAGCCTGGGTGACAGAGCACAACACCGTCTAAAAAATATAAAAATAAAAATAAAATAAAAAGTCACTTTTTTTCTTTCCCAGACAGCGTCTTATTCTAAGCTGCAACACAGAGTCTTGCTCTATCACCAGGCTGGAGTGCAGTGGCACGATCTCGGCTCACTGCAACCTCCACCTCCCAGGCTCAGGCAATCCTCCTGCCTCAGCCTTCCAAGTAGCTGGGTCTATAGGTGCATGCCACCACGTCCAGATAATTTTTGTAGAGACAGGATCTTGCTATGTTGCTCAGGCTTGTCTCAAACTTCCAAGCTCAATCAATCCACCCACCTTAGCCTCCCAAAGTGCTAGAATTATAGGTGTGAGCCACTGCGCCTGGCCAAAAAATCACTTTTAAAAGCAGCTGAGGTAAAGTTATGTGATTTGACAGAAGTTTGAAAAACGTTCATCCTGTCTCTGAAGTTTAGAATCCTTGCAAGTCCCCTGACTGGGGATGTAAAGAAAATCATCTGAAAGCTGAACATTTGTCTTCATCCTGTTTTTCTAAATGAAGAGAAAACCATCTCAGTAAAAATGCTGATGAGAGTGACCCGAATAATGTGGGACCGAGGAGGCTTGGGGGTGGGAAGTGTTTGTCCTGCCCTTTGAAAGAATGTATTTGAAATAATGTCTTTCTTTCAAAGGGCAGGACAACAGGGAACCCTGAGGAATCTGTTTCACTTTAAAGGAGGAAAACCAACAGCAATTCTGAAAAGAAATAGGATGGCTGAAATCAGGAGAAGCGGCTTAAAAAGTGCACAGCAAGTTTGCAAAGGCAGTGCCAACACTGCAGTGCCAGAAATGTGACTGTAAAAAATATCCCATTGACACCATATTGTATAGACCGACACTGGGGAGCACAGGGCTTTGGCAATTTCCAGAGGGCCCTCAGGATGTTTTTCTCACATCAGAGTGCACTGTGTGGGTTGTCGCAAAGGAATAGGAGGCCAATCCCTCAGCCCTGGGGGAGGGCCCTGTCTTCTGTGGAGCCGAGTGTATAGGACCCCTCAGGAGGTTGTAGGCAACCTGACGGAACTGAGTCCCCTCAGGAGCCTCGGGAGCATGCCGGGAACAAATGGCGGTGCCCACTCACTGCCTCATTTCTTGAGTTCAGTTCTTCGGCAAGAAAAAAAAAAGGTCATTAGTATATTTTGTTTTTCATTTTTACCTGAAAAGAAATATGACAACTAAAAGGAAGGATGACATGAGCAGGATGACAATACCTGCTAGTTAAATTAAGGCCACCCAACTCCTCGGATCATCATCAACTGGAATGACCAGACCTCACTTCAGATTGCATTTGTGTTTATTGGAGAGAGCAACCAAGAGTTTCCTTTTAAAAAATAAGAAAGCAAAATAACAATGTGGCAAAACCCCATCTCTACAAAAAAGAAAAGTACAAAAATTAGCCAGCTGTGGGCACCTGTAGTCCCAACCACTGGGGAGGCTGAGACTGGGGGATCGCTTGAGTCCAGAGGGTCGAGGCTGCAGTGAGCTGTGATCATGTCACTGCACTCCAGCCTGGGTGACAGAGTGAGACCCTGTCTCAAAAAAAAAGGAAGAAGAAGAAAGGAAAGAAAGGAAGGAAGGAAGGAAGGAAGGAAGGAAGGAAGGAGGGAGGGAGGGAGGGAGGGAGGGAGGGAAGGAAGAAGAGAGAGAAAGAAAAAGAGAGAGAAAGAAAGAAAGAAGAAAAAGAGAAAGAAGGAAAGAAAGAAAAAGAAAGAAAGAGAGAGAGAAAAAGAAAGAAGGAAAGAAAGAAAGAAAGAAAGAAGAAAGAAAGAAAGAAAGAAAGAAAGAAAGAAAGAAAGAAAGAAAGAAAGAAAGAAAGAAAGAAAGAAGAAAGAGAGGAGAGAGAAAGAAAGAAAACCAAATGACCTGAGAAGGAAAAGAAATAATCAGAGACATTAAAAATAATAGCCAACAGCTGGGTGCAGTGGCTCATGCCTGTAATCCCAGCACTTTGGGAGACCAAGGTAGGCAGATCACCTGAGTTCAGAAGTTCAAGACTAGCCTGGCCAACATGGCGAAATCCCATCTCTACTAAAAATTTTAAAATTAGCCAGGCGTGGTGGCAGGCACTTGTAGTCTAAGCTACTCAGGAGGCTAAGGAGGGAGAATTGCTTGAACCCAGAAGGTGGAGGTTGCAGTGAGCTGAGATTGAGCCACCGACTCCAGCCTGGCTGACAGAGTGAGACTCCATCTCAAAAAAATAAATAAAAAATAATATAAATAGCTAACAACAGAATACAGATAGGCTGAGCGGCAGCCTCCCTGCTGTTGATGCGGCTGCTCCCGAGCCACCTGCCTCACCGCCTAGCTGTGGGCTGTTTGTCTTGCTGCCCGTGGCATTTCCAGAGCTTAGCAGATAAGGAGGAGCTTCATACATGATTGCTGGCGTGAACAAAGGAATGCATGGTAACGATGTCAGAAATGGCCAGTTCATCAGGAGAATGAAATTGGCTTCCAAATATTGGTCAAGAGCTCTACATCGGACGAGCCAAGGATCTACTGAACTTAGCAGGCTCCTGTGGCCCGGTGCCTCTTCTGGCTCTAGAAATCTGGGGAGGTGACCAGGTCATACGTGGCAGTCCTCCTGTGAAGACAGTGAAGCTGGTTGAAACCTGGGGTTCCGAGGGGAAGATGTGTTCACCAGGTGATCTCCCTGCTCTGCCCCGGTGGCCCCCATGGCTGCCTGCTGCCCGCGCACCCCCACTCAGCCAGGGTTGGACTTTCCAAACTTGCTGAGTGTGTTCGACCAAAGGTAATGCTGACTTAGTGGCCTGAGGTCGTGCCGTCCCTCCCCCCCACCGAATCAATAAATAATGCGACTTATCAGAAAGAGAAAGAATTGTTTACTTTTAAACCCTGGATCCCATAAAGGGAGAGGGGAGAGGCCTAAAAGCCACAGAAGCTGTGGACGGCGCCGTCCTGCCTGCCACAGGAGGGGCCCTGGCTGAGAGGATCGGAGCCCACCCAGGGTAAGTGCGGCTCTCCCTGGGTGCCTGCGGAACCCCCGAGTGATCAGGCTGTGCTTTGGGGTGGCCGCTGATTGGGAAATGATGGGGGCTGCTGACTCCAATGTTGTAAAAGACACCACCCAGCACCTGAGCAACAACAGGTGTTGAACACACCATCACTTTGTCTTCCATGATGATTCTGTGTCTTCAGAAAACTTGAGGAACACTGGAGACTTTCTTGAGCGAGGGTAACACATGGTTTCCTTTTAAAGCAAAATAACAAAACAGCTTAAGGAGGAAAAGAAATGATCACCTTGCAGAGGGAGAGAGGATGAGGCTGGGGAGGAGCGGAGGGCTCAGGGGCGTTTTATTTCTGTGCTTGGAGTGGCTGGACATGAAGCCAGTTCTGTTTTTACCATGGCCTGATTTAACGATAATACCAAAGCGTTCACATGGAATGCCAGCTTTAGAGTCATTCCTTTCGCACTCCTCTGTCCAAGCCATATTGTTTCCTCAATAGCACTAAAAAATAACCGAGCACCTGCACAGAAATGAAACAGCACCTTAGGAATCCCCAGGCCTCAGCAATTATCTTTAAAAAGAGTCCAAGTAGGCCCCAGCTTGGCTAAAATGTATCCAGAGACTCCTTCTTCACCACTGGTTGGTGAGAAACACAGGTGATTGCAGGTGCCTGAATAAGGAACTTTCCAGATTTCCCTTCTAGAAGGATGCCAATGAGGAAAGAAATGCTGCTTTGCTCCCTGTTGACAAAAACATTCTATTTTTAAATGTCTATGCACTTTCAAAATGACAGGACTCAGAAGTATAATAGTGACTTCCTTTATCATCTAGACTAACAGCCTAAAAGAGTCAAATGGATGGATTTAATGCATCTATTTTAAATCGTAGTAAATGTGGATTCAGAGCAAAACGCATCTCCATTTATCTTTCACTTATTATGAATTTTTTTTTGTACTAATTGGTTATGCTTGCAGCAAGGTGACATTCACAGTCCCCATGGGGTTGGCCCTAGAACAAAGGGCTCTTAGCCCCTGGGAACAGAATATTAAAGCAAAGACAAGCTGCTTGTGCCCAGATCTGACCCAAGAAAGAACAGGGAGTGTTGCGATGATATTCCTGGTGCCTGTGACTCTAAGATGTCACGATGGGAGCTGTGGAGTATACAGAATATGTACAGAGTGATGAATTTGCTGGAGGGTCTGGCTTTGTAAAGGCTTCCTCCTTAATGAGCTATTTTCTCACTTATGAAAAGAAATGCAGGGCGTTAAAAGAGGAGCAAACCAAATCTAGCCTGTTTTTCATACCCATGGATCCAATGGGAAAGCTACATTCTGTACTGACCACAGCAGCTAGAGATGCCTAGAGATTTCATCACAGTTGGGAAGATGAGAGCAGGAAGATGATGCACACAGAAATTTAGTGTGTGTGTTTTCTTTTTCTTTTCTTTTTTTTTTTTAAGAGACGGGGTTTCACCATGTTGACCTTGTGATCTGCCTGCCTTGATCTCTTGACCTAGTGATCCGCCCGCCTCGGCCTCCCAAAGTGCTGGGATCATAGGCATGAGCCACTGCAATTGGCCTGTGTGTTTTCTTTGGAAATGGGATCTCAGGCCGGGCGTGGTGGCTCGTGCCTGTAATCCCGGCACTTTGGGAGGCCGAGGCGGGTGGATCATGAAGTCAAGAGATTGAGACCATCCTGGTCAACATGGTGAAACCCCGTCTCTACTAAAAATACAAAAGATTAGCCAGACGTGGTGGCACATGCCTGTAATCCCAGCTACTTCGGAGGCTGAGACAGGAGAATCGCTTGAACCCAAGAGGCAGAGGTTGCGGTGAACCGAGATCGCGCCATTGCACTCTAGCCTGGGCAACAAGAGTGAAACTCCGTCTCAAAAAAAAAAAAAAAAAGAAAAGAAAAGAAATTTGATCTCAAACAACTGAGCTCAAGAGATCTTCCTGCCTAAGACTCCTGAGTAGCTGAGACTACAGAAGAAATTTATTATTAATAGCCATTCAGGAATGGTTAGCACGCAGTCTTTCTCAAGGAGATCTCAGGAAGTAAGCTACACAGAATTCCTCAAGGCCTTTTCTACACTGTAGAAAATTGTGCTGGCATTTGGACAAGTCACCCTGAGAATAGCCAACATCTTTGCCTTAAGCATTATTTTTTCAAAGGAAATGACATTTAATACTTCCCAGCCAGTGTGTAAAGTTTCTGTTTGTTATTAGCTATACTATTTAAATTCAGTTGTTAAATTTGAAAATACTATAACATTAAAAATTTGTAGAATAAGAAATGATTATGTGAATTTTTAAAATATTCAGAAGTGGATCCTGGCATTAACCACTTTATTTTACTAGCGATATATTATTGTATGACATTTCTTTTTTTAAAAGAAAACCTTCTGATTACTTGTTTAAACTGCTTTGTAAACTGACAGTTTAACTGCTTCTGCAGAAACAAAAAAGTAATAAAAGATGATGGCCATTTTAGCAATGTTTAAAAACTGCTCACAAGACAAAATAATTGCCACTCAATATGTGTTTAGTGATTGACGCAATAATACCATAAAATTGTTGTACTGCAAAAGAAAATATTTCACTAATAATTTGCTAAAAAAATTAGCCTGAGGCCTGCCACTCAGCACAGCACTAACTTTTCATGCTTATGACAAATAATATATGAATAGGGTGGCTTCCAACCTCCCCCATTTCAGAAGAGTATCTTGCAAGAAGGAATTTGTATTGAGAGTCCAGAAAGACAATTGCTTAACATTTTTTAAATCCTCATTTTTCTCATTAAAAAGTATCACATGAATCATAATTAACAAATTTATACAAAAGGAGAAAAAAGAAACCATAATTTCTCTACTGAAAGATAATGATGATTGACATTTGATGTTTTGGCCTCAGGCATGAATGCATTTTTTCACAGAAAGGGACTCATACTGTGTGTATTGTTTTACAAACTGTTTTTTAATTCAATAGCATATCTTGAATTTCTTTCCAAGTCTACAATCATTTTTCTACAGAATCAATGTAAAGGGTTATGGTGTGTCATGAATGTATTCCTCTTCTCCTATAGCTGGGCGTTTAGGTTGTTTCCAATGTTTACCCTCATAAGCAATGCCACTATGAGCAACCTCATAGGTACATCTCTCTATACATTTTAATACTTTCCTGGTGATAGATTTCTGAGCCATAGAAATGAGGTTTATTTGGGGGCGGGGAGTTGGTAAAATTCACCAGTAACACATTAACTTCCTCATCTCTTTTATTCTTCCCTGCGTTCCTTCCCTTTTCTGTCTTTTGCAGATTATTCAAAGCCAAAAGCCAACAGAGCCCCCATGAAGAAGTGGAGGATGCCCAGATGCTGCTATGAAGCCCTGAGGAGTGAATGAGTCCAAGCCCTTGCCCAGGATAGCGCTCTCCAAGCACATCCTTCAGGGACCCTTCTAACCAGTGAAATGTTCACCTCTCACTGTTTCTTCCCAACTGAGCTAAGAGACTTCTAGAGCCTCTTGTGATGGTCAGCAATAGCCCTGGCATGACCAGGAGGTGTGGGTTTCTGTTCTAGGTCCCTTAGCAAAGACTAAGCAGGACAAGCCTGGCTACTCTGTTAGGAGGAGCCGTAGGGAAAGGGAAGGATAAGATGGGCCACGACACACCTGTGTCCCCTGCTGGGCTGCCCTCAGAGCGTCCAGGTTTGTGGCAGCAACTGGGGCCACCTAGAACTCTAGGGTTCATAGTCATTCTCTCTGAGTCATGTAAAGCTGCCCAGGAGATGAGGTCCACCTGAGGAGAGTATGTCTAAACAGGCCATTGGCATTTCCTGCTTGCAAATGACCACATTTCATGAAACGAAACCAGGCCACAGACAGGAACCAAAGGAAATCAGTTACTTAATGGAAGATAAGGGATCCATAAAGTGAAAAAGGTAAAGAAGAAAAAAGAGGCAGCTTCAACACTCCAACTCCACGGAAGCAGAACGACTCTCAGCTTTCTTAGGGGGTAGTCACTGAAAGTCTAGCTTGAAGAGGGTGATTTCATGATCTACATGTAATAAGGCGCATTTTTTTCTGAAAAGTACAGAATGGTTCATTTTCAGCTGTTAAAGATGGGCCGGTTTTAGGGCTAGAGCAAGGCTCTGGTCAAATGTTAACAACCCAGTTATCCTGGGGAAAAAATAACTGGCTCCCAGCCCTTTCCCTTTTCAGCATTTGCAGGAAAAGCAGGAGTGGGTAAAATGCTTTATTTCCTCTCATTCTCCATGGTGGGCAGGAGTTCACGTATCAGTCAGAAACCATTTTTAACAGGAAAACCAAGTAAATCCTGTAGGGATTTATTTGGAGCTCCCTTTTTGTGAGAAAATGAGTATCACAAACTAAAAATGACTCATTTCCTCTCTCCATCTTCCTCCCTTTCTCCTCTCCCCTCATCTCCCACCCATCACTATGGTGGAAAATGACTACGGTGAAGATCATGAAAATTTGAGCAAGATCAGATGCCACAGAGAGTAGATCACAACACATCTAACTGCTGGATCCCCATATCAAATAATTGTAATTTTCCTAGACTGCAGAATTGATCACATTTTACCGATGATGGATTGGGAAATATGGTGAGGAGATGAGAGCTGGAGAGCATGCATTCATTCAGTCAGATTATTCTCATTTACAGCGTGGTCTTCCACATTATAAACTAAGTATCGATGTCGTGAAATCTATTCCCTCTAGAGATTCTTTCTCTCTGAGCCATTTCAGAAAATTGTTGCAAACGGAGTTCCTGTCTGTTTTCACAAGGAGTTTTTGCAGAAGGGGTTTTTGGGTGGTTGTGGAACACAGGCACTGGGCCCCTTCACTACTCTACCCTTCCAGAACACAGAAGCCTTTCATCTGTGAGTCTTCATCTCTTCCCATTGCTCAAGACGCTTGCACCTGTGATGCTTCTTTTCTCTGCTCACGTCATAATATGTGGAGCTGATGAGGTTCCCTTGTGGCGGTCCGTGACAATGGTGGAATGTGGAGGTGAAGTTAACACCTTTGTGGCTACAGATTTTCCTTAGCAGAGCTGTGGAGTGTGACAATGGTGTTTGTGTCTAAACTATCAAACGCCATTATCACACTAAATAGCTACTGCTAGGCAATCCTTCCCTTGATAAATGTCTTGGCATCATTCGCTTTGAGCAAGAAGGTTCATCTGATATCAGTGTTCCCAATCTTGTATACTTACTGAATAAAGTCTGGTTCTCTTGAGCTCATAACCAATATGATTAGCTGAACCCTGCCTCTCACATGCTATTGTTACATACCTTAGCTGGTGATGAATTTCTTTGTTTTCCCAAGTCAATAAAAAGATTGCAGACTGTGTACGGTGGCTCACGCCTGTAATCCCAGCACTTTGGGAGGCCAAGGCAGGTAGATAGATCGCTTGAGCTCAGGAGTTCAAGACCAGCCTGGGCAACATGATGAAACTGTGTCTCTACAAAAACTACAAAAATTAGCCAGGTGAGGTGGCATGCACCTGTAATCCCAGCTACTTGGGAGGCTGAGGTGGGAAGATCAGTTGAGTCCATGAAGTCGAGGCTGCAGTGAGCTGTGATGGTACCACTGCACTCCAGCCTAAGTGACAAAGCAAGAAACTGTCTCAAAAAATAAAAATAAAAAGATTGCAGAGTCCCTCAGAGCACCCAACACAAGGCTAGGCACCAGGCAATCATTCAACCCACGCTTATAGAGTTGAAATGAACAGTTAGGAAAGCGTTAGATGCAGAAGGCTGAGACTGGGTTAAATCTAGGTTATGCAGACCACAAGTTTATAGTTATAAATTTAAGGTGTGTGGGTCATTGTCTTTTCATCGTTAAAAAACCCAACTTTCTAATAGACTTACACATGGCTTCACTGGCCTTTCAGAAATTCTGGAACATGTTTGATTTCTACTGATTTTAATCAATTACTAGGCTGATTACTGAATTCGTACACCAGGTCTTTTTTCCTCTTGCTTCAGTGAATTACCATCAGAAAATTGTTTATGAACCATGTGTGAGCTGCCATGGCAAATCTGGGACCCAAGGAGTTTTGGGGACAGTTGGCCTAGCCAGATGCCCTGGTTTGGAAAACATTTTGTCTCTGAGAGGTTTCCGAAGTCAGCAGTAGGTTTTGTTTGTGCTGGGCTAAGGCTTCCCTCCCCTGACTTGGCTAAATGAAGTAGTATATGTTTAATCAAATTGACGGGGTTAGATCAACCATCAGAAACAAATTCAATCATTCAACCATTCACTCATGAAATAAATATGTATACAGGCTACCGTGTGCCTGACACTGTCCTAGGCATTGAGGACACTTTTAAATTAAATGTGTCTGATGTTATTTCCAGAGATGGGCATCCACTGGCTCACATTAAATTTTAGGACTATTGTTAAATCATTCCAGATGGGAGCCAAATGAGCAAAACTTTGCAAAATAATTCTGAGTCCCTTGCTAGAAAGCTTCACCCGAGTGCAGCCCACACATTTGTGATACACAATGAAGTCTTCAAGGTCATGAGATGCACAAAAGCTTCAAGGTCATGAGATGGACAAAGGCTTCATGGTCATGGAATGTCACTTTCCAACGAAGAAGAGGAAGTGCACCCCTGCCTGCCTTGCATCTCTTACTGCCTCTCACTTCTTCCCTCCCAGCAACATCCACTCTCAAGAGGAGAATCAGACTCCCTGAAATAATTGAGACATTGACATTTCTTTTTGTGTGTGTGTTTCTGGCAAAGTCTCTAACTGAACAGGTATTAACAGAGGGCTCTACTGTTATACAGATCACTCTCATGTACACTGAATTAGTCCATTTTCATGCCGCTAACAAAGACATACCTGAGACTGGGAAGAAAAAGAAGTTTAATTGGACTTATAGTTCCATATGGCTGGGGAGTCCTCAGAATAACAACGGGAGGCAAAAGGCACTTCTTACATGGCAGCAGCAAGAGAAAATGAGGAAAAAGCAAAAGCGGCAACCCCCGATAAACCCACGAGATTTCGTGAGACTTATTCAGTATCACGAGAGTAGCACGGGAAAGACTGACCCCCATGATTCATTACTTTTTCCTCGGTCCCTTCTACAACACGTGGGAATTCTGGGCCATACAATTCAAGTTGAGATCTGGATGGGGACACAGCCAAACCATATGACACACTGTTTCATTTGATCCATGCAATACAGGGCAAAGATGATGGGTTTGGGGCCCCTTCCACAGAAGACAAACAGAGTCTAAAGGGTTCTGGAATTGTCTGGTCCTCCAACCACAACTCAGCATGGATCTCTTAAGTCTAAAGTTCTGTCCTTAACCCGCAGCCTTCTTTGACCTGGTTTTTCTGTGAAATCTCACACTTCACAGTCGAATCTGTATAGAAGGCGGGTTAATCATGCCAGTATGTGATCAATATCCTCATCACCCCATCTGCTTTGTCAGTGGGTTCTGAGGGAAACCCTGTAAATTAGAGTGGGATGAGCCATATGAGAATCTCTCTTTGCGAGTGTTCATCATACAGAGAAAGCTGAATATTGCAAAACCCTGTAATCATGAAAGAGAAGGAACATCTAAGTGGTAGCTTTGGGATCAGGAAGAGGTTGGCCAAACTGTCCCAACACTGAGCGGCCATCTACGTGACCCAGCCACCTGATGTGGCACCAAATGACCCAGAGCCTTGAGGTTTGGAACTGTTCCTAGACTCAGGGACAATGTGAGGACTGGACCTTCCATATTCCTTCTCTTCACTCCTGCTCACCCTGAGATTTTTCTCAGGTAGAATTAAACAGGGAGCCAAGTGAACAGCATTCTGCGTCTTTGCTGCTAGCTTGGCTCATTTAATGGTTTATTATGATTGCTGCCTGGATTCGTTTTGCATTTGGGATTGGAGACCTGTCATTTCTGTAGCTCTCTAAGGAACACACAGAGAAGGCAAAGCTTCCCTCTCCCCTTTCTACCTCTAATTGCAATCCTGCTGCTCCAAATCTCTGATGATGTCACCTTCCCCAGACCAGCATTTATCTCCCCTCCCTCCCCGGGATGATTGCTGCCAGTCATTTCCAATAAAGCGTTTCTGGGGACAGCTACTGACTCTGAATATGGTTTGCAAGATGAAAGGGTTCACTTGGATGAGCAGTTAAAAATCACACTCGTGCTGGGGAGGCAGCAGAGAACACAGTCACCTTGACATGTTTTCCTCCCCGGGAGACAGGCCACTTGAGTCTAGCTTTGCTTTGTGGATCACCCCGTAGAGTCCTGACGCAGCCTTTCATCTTAGTACAATGTGTACTTTGAACGTGAAAGTCGCCACTGACAGCCTGTCCAGCATTCCATCCAGCCCCAGAGGAGGATTTGTGAAGCAGTTACCATGTATCAATGGCTTACTACATATTTTTCTGAACTCTTCTTAAACGTATATTTTCCACCTATATACTTCATTGAATCAGAAGACAAAGGAATGCTAGAACTGGAAACCAGTCTACTCTTTGTTCTGATGAGGAGATTGAAGCCCAAGTCTTCTGGAATTTACTGGACAGATCCACCTTCACATTCCCCTACCCTGTGTCATCAGCCACTCCCTGAGCAGACAAGGGTTGTGTGTTTCTATGTGCCAAGTGTTCTACTAAAATCTGGGGATCCAAAGAAGAACGAGGTCAGGTCCCTTCCCTGAGCTACCCTCAATGCGGGAGTTGAACAGAAGCTGAAACAAAGACATGCATGCCTCCGTGTACTAGATGCCAGCACAGAGGCAGGGACAGTGTGCCAAGAGGCTTTAGTTATGCCCTTCTTTTCTCTCCAGGTGAAGAAACACCAAGTCTTTGATGTTATGGTCCTTTTTGTTATTGTTGGGAAAACAGTCCTCCTTGTTTATTTTGGTGATTCAACTTCCAACAGGTTACATGGATAAAGGGCGTTTCTTTGTTTTGGGGGACAACGCTGTCATATGAAGATCTTCCTGCTTTTACTTTGCCACTTGGCAGCATAATGAGCAGCTCAGCATCTGTTGAGGGACTGGGAGCGGATGGTACACTTCCCAGTGATGTGGAGAATTTTAATTGCTCCAAGGATCTGGGAGAAATGTGAGCTGGTTGTTCTTCACAATGCAGGGCTAGATTAACACTGTTTCCTCCATCCCTGCCTCACAAAAAGCCTCCTTCAAGGTCACCTCACTGCTTCTCAGTTTCCC